ATTTTTTGACTTTGCTTCTCTGTTGTATGTTTTGTACCAAATCCGCAAATTCTTTGACTTACCTTGAAACCCTGATAAGGGGCAGGCTTGCTTTCTAATTACTGAGAGAGTTCAGCTGGTGTCTTGGCTTTCCATGTCTTTTTACACCTCCCTTTCTTCATGTGTTCAATACTTTTTCCCTGTGCCATTCCACATTATTACAAATAACTTCATTTCTGGACATTTATGGTTTGATTTCTTTGTATGTATGGATCACTTGTGTTGTTACCAACATCTGGTGAAAATTTCATGTCATTAGCACCTCTAGTAATATATTTACTGAGGAAAATGGTGACGTGTTCAATACTTGGTTTAAATTTAAGATTTCTAAAAGGACGTCACTGGATTCATCATTTGAAGGGTCAAACATCCAACGTCATGAATTCCTTTTAAGATATCTTGAATTGAAGCCTCCATTGAACTCAATGATAAATCTGACGTCATTTATACTAGTCAAAATGTAATTAGAGATATCTTAAATAACAAATATGACTAGTCATAATTCAATTTCAGATACAGTAGATGGAAAGTAAGTATCGTGAATCCGATTTTATGCTAAAATGGCCTGCCATAAACACTTGAATATTGATAGGGTCCATTTGCGCTGTTAGAAAATACTGGTTTAATTTTTGGTACATAGTGATAGGTTACACGCCATTGTATAGTTAACCGAAAAAAAGTATGCTCCTAAATGCTCTGTTACTTGTAATACCTAATTACCTAATTTCCCTCTGGGATCAATAAAGTATTTTTGAATTGAATTGAATACACAGTTTACACACATGGCGTAAACAATGCAAACAGTTCAGTGTAGCACCTCACAACATGGCTGCCAAATATCTGTAGCTAATCAGCGATAACAAAAGTTATCAGTACGTGTGCAGCAGTTTTCCGGTGTTCATCTTGTGACGTCGCTCGGCCACAGTCGCCATTTCGTTTTCCGAGACTCGACACTCAGGCAGCATATAACAGGTAAGAGTTTGTTCWCATCTACGCCACAGTTTTAATAGATCTGTTGTCAAATGGATTTGAAGTCCGCTGCGGAAAACTCAAGTTGTTACATTTGACCGATGAATGATTCAACAATGCTAACTTCCACGCTAAAGAAGAAGTGCGCATGCAATCGTCGCGGTAGGCCGAAGCCTATTATTTGAAAAAGAAAGAAACTGCACATCTTTCTATCGAGTGAAGTATATTTTAGTTTTATTTACTGTATAGTGTTTGGCCGGTGTTACGTCACTAATGTCACAAAATCGAACAAAATGGTGGATGTTCGGGTCTCTGGCGCTGCAGCTCAGATTAGCCACGGTGCTAATGAAGCTAATGCGTGTTCTGTGGAAGAGGAAAGCACGAGCGGCTAACGGGTGAACATCTAATTATATAATTTAAAACAAAAAGCTCACCCACGCTCCCACACTGTTCTCACAAACCTCCGTGCTTCAGAAAATCGTCTGACTTTGTGTATTAAATTGTGAACTTTCATTTCATTTATTTATGATTTTGATATGCATGTGTATATATTTTTCTCATCTTTCTTTTTATATTTTTGTTTTTATTGTATATTGTATATAAAAATATTTGTTTTGTTTTAACGAAATTAATAAATTGAATTTATTATATTATTTATTTATGTTTGTATCAAGGGTTAATTGTTAAATATGATTGGGGTTGATTCTAATACAGGAGTGAATAGTATGGRGTTGGATTTTAGTATATTTTATTTAAAAAGTCCTGTTTGTATTAAGTGTGTCGGATATTCCAGTAAAATACCAAAGATATTTTTTATTACCTAACATGCTTGTTCTAAAAGGAAATGTAAGAAAAATAATGTCAGACCATTAACCAAATGTGGCAAATAGACAGTAAAAATACTGTTTAGAAGGTTGCCAAGCTCTGTGGTTCCCAAACTTTTTATCTTCTGACCCACAAAATACCCATGGCAAAAACTTGTGACCCCAAATATTACTGGTCTGAGTACACGAACTTTGTTAATAACCCTAAAAACACAGGCTACACAAATATAAATACTTAATTATACTTACTTTGTGTTTTTGTAATAATTATGGGAAAAATATTACATCAGCAATTATTTTATTACCCTTTAAATTGATTTCTGAATTGCAGTGGTTCCCAAACTTTTCAGCTTTTGACCCACAAAATAACAGTAGCAGAGACCTGAGCCCACAACTATGTTCGGATGATAAACATTTGTATCAGGTCAACTAAACATGGGCAAAGTAACAATATTTATTATTACATTTACTACATTTATACTTATACTTTTTAGGCAACCAAGGTAAGAAATGTAATTAATTTAGAAAATCTTTTCAGGATGCCACTTCGGGTCCCGACTACAACTTTAGGAACCACTGCTCTAAGGCATTATTATTTAATTTGAATTAAAGCACCACTGTAGAAACTTTTGCAGAACGTTTACAGATGAAGAAAATGCCCAGAAGGTGACAGAAACTTTAACATTTAATGTTTGAAAATGTTGAACTGTGGGCAGAGAAATTGTGTGAATGGGAACTAATAATTACTGAAAATGCAAAAGATATAAAAGATACATTTTGAATAAATTTGCATTTGATTTTTTTTTCTCTGTCTCCATTTAGTGACAAAAAGGTTCTACAATGGTGAAAATATTCATCGGAAACCTGTCCCCCGATACCACATCGGATGAACTCCGCTCTCTCTTCTCCCAGTATGGCAAAATTTCAGAATGCTCCATTGTCAAAAATTTTGGCTTTGTGCACATGGATAATAAGGCCGAGGCAGAGGAGGCCATAYGCAACCTTCATCAGTATGAGCTAAACGGCCAGCCGCTGAACGTAGAATTGAGCCGTGGCAAGTCGAGAGGATCCACCAAGCTACACGTTGGTAACATCGCGTGCACCAATCAGGAGCTGAGGGCCAAGTTTGAAGAGTTCGGCACAGTGCTGGAGTGTGACATTGTAAAAAACTATGCTTTTGTTCACATGGAGCGAATGGAGGATGCCATGGAGGCTATTAATAAGATGGATAACACAGCTTTTAAAGGTGAACTCTTGGGGTGGGTGTGATGGGAAATTAAAACTAGAATAATGAAATGATGTCATAACCGTTAAGTTTCATGTGAAATTCCAGGTAAGTCTGGATGAAGCACAGGTGAGTAAAAGGAAGGAAGCCAGTATCGTTTCAAAGCTGTTATCCGTAATTTCAATAGTGCATTCCAGTTGTTTGTTGGGAAAGAACTGGAGGTGTGGACTCGCTCAGAAACACTGGTTTTGGCTTTAAATTCGGTTCCGTCCGGTTTAATGCTGGCAGAAAACGTGGGCCGAGTTACGATTTCGAGGTATTACTCGTTGTCAATAAGTCACTGTGTCAAAACCACCACATTTTTCAGTTGTATCGTTTCTTCAGTTTAAATTCATTTGAAACAGATAAATGTTTCTTGTGCTTTGACAGTCGTCTTATTTCTACGTTAAAATTACTATGAATATTTTTAGTATTGCGTCGTTACACCTATAACAGATTGATGAAATGATGCGTGATATAATTTAGGTAGCAAAAGTGACAGAGTGCATTAGTTATTTTTTAAAATGAAAACAAAGTAATCACATAAACCACACGATTTTCCTCCTAAATGATTAAACCATCGGACTCAAACCAGCTTATTACATCTGCACTTTGTTCAAATGAAACTAATGCATTCTGAGGACAGATATTTATCATATTTAGATCATGATAGTTGGAAATGATCTGATTTTGCGAAACGGTATGTTGACACCCTTTGTCCAACTGATTACAGCACACGTTATCTTTCACGACTAAAGGAGGAAAAAACTGAGACGTTACGGATTTCAGCTTTAGTAATGAAATGTGGTGCTCAACTGCAAACCCTTGTCTTAATGCTTTATACTGCAACTTTCTAACAGGTAACTGGATTTGTGTCACACAAGAAATGTGAAATGTCTGTAGTTTGAACCAAATGCAGGTACCAGTCCTTACAAAGTGTTATCTTTTTTAGGAAAACTGATGAGCGTGAAGCTTTCTACTAGCCGCCTGCGTACTGCGCCGGGAATGGGAGACAGATCGGGGTGTTACCGTTGCGGGCAGGAAGGTCACTGGTCCAAAGAGTGCCCCTTAGACCAAAACGGCTACCACAGAAACGGCTCGGAGCCAAACTCTGATGGATACGATCCCTCGAGATTTGGCGGGCGCGGTCGCAGCCGGGGTTACCCAGACTTCAGCGGTGCTCCGGAATATGACGGCAGCTACGGTCATGGGTTTGGTCAAAGCAGCAGCATGCCGGGTTACAGAGGAGGTACGGGCTACGAGAGCGCAATGAGATACGGGCCACACCCAGGTTACGGCGTGAGTTCTGTCGCCGATCATAGCATGGCTCGGATGTACGGCAGCGAGGCGGCGTACCGGGGCAGCAGCTCACTCTATGGTGCGGTACCAGACTTCTCGGTGCGACGGTCGCCTTACGAGGAACGGGATCCGTACGGGGTCGTGGACTACTATGAGAAGTACAGGGCGAATTATGGAAGCAGTTATTTCGAGGAACGCCGTGGTGCTCCCTTGCCCGGTCCAGCAACGACCACCTCCACAACTCTGAGGGAGCGCCTGCCCCCCTCGAGCGTCGACCCGTACCAGTGTCCTCCCCTCCCTCCTCCTGTGGCCCCGGTCCCATCATACTACGCACGTGAGCGGAGTCCGATACGGAGAGTCGCCGGCGAGGCGGCTGGATTTGCATATGAGCGTTCGCGGCTTTCCCCAGCGACCGCAACCCCAAGAAGTGCTACCTATGACCATTCGCGGGATGCCGCCGCTGAGCGGGCACGGTATCCTTACTAAAGCTTTGTTCTAGCTAAGTGTTAGTTTACTAACCTCAGCAGGTAGGATAGCCCAAGTGCCGCTGGAATTGCTAAAACTCCAATAAAGTTGTATCGTTTTGTCTGTTCTCTCTGCATGAAACTGTGTGGGTGGGCAGCTCAATGATTGAAGTAGGGTTTTTTATTTCTCTTATTTACATTAACCAGTAAGTAGATTTCAGTAGTATGGGGTATGTGAAATATAAGGATCCCCTTCCAGGTTATGTTTCTGTGCAGTACAGTTATTAGCTTCCTTTCATTTTTCTGTTTGTCTGTTATTTGTGCAGTTTTCAGGTAATCCAGCCTGTGTACAGTATGTGATGGTTTTATCTGTAAAATGATTCATAATGTAGTAAGGATGAACATTTTGCCTTTTAGAGAAAAGCTGCATGCTCTTGAACTGGTGCATGATGATGTTTGTGTAAAGGTGAGTCTACAGTGATTAAATCTGAATTTTGTTGAGGGGTGGTTGGTGTTCCTGTAGTGTTTCTGTCAGTTACGTTTTGAAGCAGAAGGGAAGTGAAAGCTGGTGTCTCACTGGGCTGTGAGGAGTTGACCAACAGGAAGTCTCTAGGATGACTCAAGGTTTAAACCCACACCACTGATGAATATTTTAAACTCCATCCTGTTCTTCATTTCCTCATTCCTGAAGTCCAGCAGGTTAAATGTGAACTGTAGGATGGACACAAAGCAGGCTCAGGTGTTTTCTCTCATTTTTCTCTTCATGTCTGACAGTGGCAGCCCAGTGAGATGCTACCTGAATGCTTCAGCACGTGGATCTGTGTAGATAACTGAAATGGTTGCAGCTTTTTCTCGTTTAATTCCATTTAAAACCGTCGTTCTTTTTGTTCTTGTAATGAGGTTCCAGATTCTGCCAGTTAACTTGATCTCACAGCAACAAAACAAACAAAACATTTTTATAAAAAGATTTGCTGCACAATGTTTTATATTTTGTGTGTGTGATAGTGGGTGCACAGATACTTTAGTTGTCAGCATCACTTCAGTGCAGGAAATGGTTCAAACACTGAGGACAGGACTGGATCGAGTCACGTTCACCTGATGATCCAGCTCAGCACTTTGCTTTTTCAATTATATTCCACTTTTAGTTCTCATTGCTTTTTCCTTCATTATAAAGTTTTATGTTTGGGGTTAGCCAAGAAAAAGCAGATGAGTAATGTTAAATGAATAGTTAGTGATCACCAGGTTTTTATTTTTTGCTAGTGTACACTAACAATTTGAAAAAGTCTTTCTGAAGCACTTGATGCAGAGTTCTGGGTCTGACATTCAGCTAAACGTTATAGACCTGTCAACATAAATGACTTGTAAAATTGTGATGGTAAAACTAACCCTGTCTTCATATACTCAAATTATTTTTAGTTGAACTGAGCTGTTGTCACCATGAGCTGATCGGTTGACTCGTCTGTTTTTTTTTCTTTTAATAAAGTATTTTGAGTTTAAAACTGATTCCTGTGCTGTTTTCTGATGAGATGTGGTTTTCAGCAGATTATCAAACGATGAAGTAAAGGTTTGTTTAATGATTTGTCTGAATTTGACTAGTTTAAAGAGTTATAGAAATATGAATTTTAGTTTGGATAAATACTGTTTAATTTTGCAGCTGAACTATTCTCAACTTGCCTACATGTAATCAAACTTTTTCAGTCGGGCAGGGAAAGTGGAATCACTTTATCTTAAAAACATTTTCACATGTCTATGCGACTAGAAATGTTTAATCTAAAGGCACTTTGAAATAATCTGCTGAGGTTATAGTTCTAACAGCAGCAGAGAGAAAATATGAATATAATGAAAGCCTAGCATGTTGGTGTAGACTAATCCAAGACAGGACAAATCCTAAAAACCACTGCTGTAGATGAATTGCTTTGCTTCCAATCCAGGGAGTGTTTTATTTAAAAACTAGAACATGAAACTGAACAGTCTCCAGTTTTTATTGGAAAAGTTCCTCAGCTGGACACAGACATGTCTTCATTTTGATGTTTAGTTTTTAGGACAGGTTTGTTGAGGCCTTGTTGTTCAAACCTTAGTTAAAGGTAACATTAAAACTTGAGTGCAATGTTTGTAAAACTAACAAATATATAGTCAAATTTAGTTGGCTGTGGCAGCCATCCTGAATCATCTTGACTAGAAGTTGAACAAATGATTTCTGGGAATTTGAATAAAGTTCGTCTAGTTTATGAGTCTGACAATGGTGTGAAATGATTAGACAAATGATGATGAGAGTAAAAATGTAACTAAATCAAAATTTTCCGGGAGTTAATCCCTGTGAACACAAGAAGAAGTCAGTTCAGTTCTAAAGAATGATCCAGCTGCTCTGCACACGTTCAGCCCTGACCACAGGGTGTCGCTGACTGCTCATCTGCAGGTTGGCCTTCAGTCTTCAAATGGTCCCATAAGGGTCTGGGATTTGCGAAGTCTAGGCTAGGCTAAGATAAAATAAAAATGATTTGACGGTGTTTACATCAGTGGTTCCCAAACTTTTTATCTTCTGACCCACAAAATATCCATGGCAAAAACTTGTGACCCCAAATATTAATGGTCTGAGTACATGAACTTTGTTAACAAACCTAAAAACACAGGCTTTTGACTATCTAAACAGTTTGTACACAAATATAAATACTTATTTTTACTTATTTTGTGTTTTTGTAATAACTACAGGTAAAATATTACATCAGCAATTTTTTTTATTACCCTTTAAATTGATTTCTGGAGATTATCCAAGGTGCTTCATGACCCATAATTGGGTCCCAAGCCCAACTTTGGGAACCAAAGTGCAGTGGTTCCCAAACTTTTCAGCTTTTGACCCACAAAATAACAGTAGCTGTGCCCCCAACTATTTTTGGATGATAAACATTTGTATCAGGTCAACTAAACATGGGCATAGTAACAATATTTTTATACTACATTTATCCATTTTAAATATACTAACCTCACTCCTTTGTAACAACTAAGGCAAAAATGTAATTAATTCAGAAAATCTTTTCAGGACCCCATCTTAATGTTTCGGGACCCCACTATGGGTCCCGACCCCAACTTTGGGAAACACTGGTTTACATGAACTGCTGTGAAATTTTGATCCTGAATTGTAATCAGGATCAAAATAATCAGTTAAATCAAACATTAAGAGCTACCTGAAGAAAGTATGACTTACACATAACATAGAGCAACTTTGGATGTCCTAGGTACACTTTTAATACACTTTTATTTTTTTTTATTCCTTCTGTTACGGAGCCTTGAACACAGTGTTAAGATAAGAACATCATTAAAATAGTTCATATTTATCTGATAGGTTTTAGTTTGAAAATGTTCATTATTCATACACCAGAGTGAATCATGGAGTTCCTCAAGGTGTAGTGCTTGAACTACTTCTCTTTACTTTATTGACGCATCTTAGGAATAAACTCTGCAGCCTTTCACTTCCTCTGGATGGAATTAATCTGGCCTCCAGTTCTAATGTAAAGAACCTTGGTGTTATTTTAATCTTTTAACCCCACATTCAAAATGTTACCAGGACTGCATTCTTCCACCTGTGTAATCAATTAGAAACATCCATCCATTATCTTTTACCCACTTCTTCCTTTCAGGGTCACTGTGCGAGGGGCAGACTACACCCTGGGCAGGTCTCCTGTCCATCACAGAACCACACGGAGACAAATAACCTTTCACTCACACCTATGGATAATTTAGAGTTACCAATTAACCAAACAGTCATGTTTTTGGTCTGTGGGAGGGAAGCAAAGTACCCAAAGAAAATCTCCACTTGCATGGAGAGAACATGCAAACTCCACGCAGAAAGGTCCCCAGCAGGGATTTGATTTGGCAACCTTCTTACTGAGAGGCATCAGCTCTACCAACTTAACTAAATTTAAAGTAAGACAAGGGACTGCATAAATATTCACTCTTTTTAGAGTGCCTGTCCTAACTGAACTCAGAGAAGAGTTTATTGACATGTACAAGTCAGGAGTTCTATTAAATCTGTCATCAATAAATGAAACGAATATAAAAAAAGGTAAATCTGCCAAGAGCAGGTCGTCCTCACAAACTGAGTGACAAGAAGCAGATTAGTGAGAACGTTGAAAGATTTACGCTCTCTATGCAATCTTGATGCTCATAATTCCAACCCATTTGAAGTCTACAGACAGACACCAGACTGAAAAGGAACTTGGTCAGACTGACTGTTTCTTTTATTTTACAAATCTGATCGTTTCTTTTATTTTACAAACCTGACTTGGTTAAAATTTTATTGAGAGGTTTATCATTTTTACGGAAGCCAAAAGCTGCCGTTTTCAGCATGTAAATATTTTCACTGGTTTTCTTGCGATAACATTTTGTCACCGATAGTTTAGGGACCATCAGCAGCATTTGATTAGAAGACCTCAAAGTCCTGGATGGACAGAGAGGCTTCAGAAGGTCCAGTATGGATTTGGGGGTCTGACCATGAAGTGCTCTGAAAGTTAAAACTAAAATTTTAAAATGACTCCTCAAAGTCACAGAGAGCCAGTGCAGAGAGGCTAAAACAGGTGTAATGTGGGCTCTCCTGTGGGTCTTTGTTAATAACCTCGCTGCAGCGTTCTGCACAGRCTGAAGCCGAGTCAAGGAGGATTTAGTGTAGTGGTTCCCAAAGTGTGGGTCAGAACCTCTTTGTGGGCCACAAAACATTACGTGAGATTCTCCAGATGATTTTCAGACATCAATTTAAATAAAAAAAAAATGCTAATGGAATATTTTCGTCGTGATTATTGCAATTTTTTAAAAATAAGCGTAAATACAGTAAATAAAAACTAGTATCATAGGTACTAGGTTTGTTTATAGTTTTTATTCCCATGTTTAACAGAGTTATTAGCAAAGTTTGCATATGTAAACAAGTAACACATGGGGTCTTGAGTGCCTGCAAMTGTTATTTTGTGGGTCAGAAGCAAAACAGTTTGAAAAGCACTGATCTAGTGGAGAAGTGACGCACATGTGACTAACATGTCTGACAGCTTTCACCCTCAGCTGTTGACAATAATATTGATCAATAATTTTTAAAGAACTCGATTAGTTCTTATAAATTTAGCCCAAAAATTTAGCAAGTGCAAATCCACTAATGAATTAAGAAATTTGCAAAAGCCCTAAAGCACTAATCAGGAAATTAGTTGCCTTTTAGTGCTTTATGGGAACTGTGCCCACCACTGTATTTTAATGATCAGAGTAAAAGAACTAACGTTTCAGTTTGGATGAGTTACTAATGAATGTCCTCTTTGTCCTTGCCCTTCTGCCAGCTGCTTGTAGCAGGACACTGTCCACCATACTGTCCACCTGTCCTGTGTTGTCTTTGAGACATGCAGGAGGCTGGTGTCCAAGTCACGGTTACTCAACAGACTTAAGCCTCAAATCTGGGTCAAATATCAGCCAACAGTTTCCTGTTCTTTATCAAGAGGAGCAGCGTCAGAGCGTTGGTCTGAAAGCTCACATGATCAGTACAAACTGTCAAAATAAATGAATTAAACTCCTGTTGCAAGTCCAGTCACCTGTGAAGTGATGCTCTAGCCAGTAATTATCAATAATTAATACATTATCAGTCATAAAGCACAGAGTGCAGAGAAACAGGCAGAAGTCTTCATCCAGGCCAGGCTAATGGTTGACAACCAAACATGCATCGTTTTACTTTTGTCGGGTTATAAAACATTTTTTAAATGACTTAATTGAACCAGTTTTCATGTTTAAAGACATTGAACATGTTCATGTTGGCTTTTATAAAAGGGTGGAGCACCTGTGGAGGCACCCAGCTGTCACATCTGGCAGGACTTTTTTAATATTTCTTCCAGATGTGACAGAGGTGTAAAGGCTTAAATCTCAGTGTCTCATGAAGTTTGGAAGATTGAAACTGCTTTAATATGGATTAAATCTGGGTCCATATAGACACAGTTTTAGTTTGTCCAAACAGTCCCAATGAACCCACTTCCACATTAGGTTTGACCATTTTAGACCAAGTTCAGTCTTCATGGTTTCATACCAGTTCAAACAACACTAGTATTTAATTGATAACTTAATTGTGTTCAGTCATTGGAAAGGGGAGAGGTGATAATGTATTCACCGTGTGTGTGCTTTGAGTTAATCATCTGTGTTTGTTAGTAAAATATCTTATGAACCAATGGACAGATTTTAGTGGAACTCTGAAGTATCAGGTATTGGCTGTAAATCTAAAACTCACTGACTTCTGGAGTCACACGTACAGCAACCAACTCCAACATGGTTCTGTATCATGCAGTTTTACAGGTACTGAGCTAAACTTGGTGTGATAGTAGCTGACAGTCATCCTCAACACATTGTCTGAGTGACAACACGTCTCAGAGAATCTCATAAAAACATGCAGAAAGTGGTTTATAAAAAACAATGGTATCACTTCTTGGATGATTTATGATTTGTTTATGATGTGTTTGAACTCTGGTGGGTAATGTGCCTTTATTCTGGATCTTTACAACTCTGCTGCTCCTGACTGACAGGTTCCAGGTGCTGGAATAAGCCAGGCTATATTTACCAAGGTCAAATCTGGACATGCTGGATCTGATTACTTTAACTTGGCCCATCTCCACAGACAGACATTTATCTACATCCTCACTGCTTCAGCTGTAGATCAGATAAATACCTGCTTAAGAGGTAAAACTCTCCTGCTGACGTCAGCAAGAAAAAGGAAAATTTCCTTTCATTTTCACTGAGGGTCATGTGAGTGTTATGGTGGTCCTCAAAGGGTCCAGTTGTATTTAACTTTAATGTTTCACGTTTACCTTTAACTGAACATGAAACCTCATCTCATTGATATAGCTAGCAAACACTAACTGAGCTCTACCCAGTATTTCCTGCATAGAAACAGTGGGCCTCATAATTCTTTGAGGGGCAAGTGGGAGATGGACTTGGAGGAATCCATATCAGACACAGTTTGGCAAAAAATTATTCAAAATATAT